GAAGCTGAGTCGCGGCACAGATCGGCCAGACACGAGCTTGACGGTAGGCAATGACATCGTAGACGCTTGAAGAGATGAGGTGTGCCAAGCTTGAGAAGTGAGTGGGTGATGGTGGTGAGGGAGAGGAGTGAAAAGGTTCGAAGCAAAGAGGCTTTATCGTCCACTTCATCGGCAGGTGGGAGTGGCCTGCGCCCGCACGCCAAGTGGAGGTTCGCGCGCCAGTGCGTCGGTGCATGTATGCCGTCGTGAGTTCAGGGCCCTCCTCGAGCATGCCAAACCAGACAAACCGTCAAAGCCGCGCTTGCTTCCAGGGTGTTCTCGCAAGGAACGTCATACAGGCATCACTCTCACTCTTCTTTTGCCATGTCACATCGGATGAGTCGCTGGTCCACAAGGCACATTCCATTCCGTCTTTCAAACTTGGAACCTCGATCCAAGATTGCGCACTCCGTCCAACGAGGTCCGAACGCGCAACATGATGCACTCTTGCAGCGCGCCCAGCTTTATGTACGCGCTCCATTTCGTGATCAGTTACGCACGTAAGCACGGCGAGCCTGCCTACAAACAGCCGGCGCACACAGGGTCGCTCTCGACTTTAGGTCGAAGCTATTAAATGCAAAAACTAGATTCGAACAATGTGGCATTGAGGTGGGAGCGAAGTTCCCGATGGAGAAGAGGTAGAACGGACCGTTCAGGAGAGACGAAATTTGCTACATGCCAGGTGATAGGAAATTAGGTGCAAGAGTCAAACGCCGGCCCGTACATCGCGACAATATCGTCGCACGCTTCGGCAATCGGAGGATTCGTGCTTTATCCACTTCTCCGTGAGGCGACCTGCAGAGGATCAAGCAACAAGTGTCAGATCAAACGCGGAGTGCCAAGACGCTTACGCACGTCCAGCACTTCCTACTCACGTTATTCCGGTGCTGACGATTTCTGAGATGAATGGAAAAGTTCTGCAACGTTTGATCGGGACCGGCAGTGTACAGCTGCGTGCAATCAAAGCAAAGTCAGCCAGCCATTCGCGTCAAGTCGCACCGACGACCTTCACATCGACTGACCTTTCCGGGACAGTCATTGCACCTGACACGCCATTCCTGAATGACTGGCGCAGGCTCGTCTGCTTTGCGCGGCTTGGGCACAATCTCAAAGCGATCCTGAGCATACTGAGCGCGTAAAGCCACAGCTGCGTCGGTAAGCCACTCGGGCGGTTTCAGCGCAGGCGGTAGAGGACTCGTCGCAAGCGCGGCAGACTTGGGGCTCGCAGTCGAACCTCCTAGCGCTTCCTGGCGCAGTGGCGAGACGTTTCGAATGACTCCCGCCGGAGGCCTTGGTACCGCGCTGCCGTCTCGCTTCGAAACGCCGTCTTGGCCACCGGGCTTCTCGTCTGAGCTCGAGTCGGAGTCTTCGTCCGGCGATCCGACCTGCACCAGAAACGGCAGATCAGGCGAGTTCCCGCGGGTCGAATGCTGAGCTGTGTGTCTACCATTGGCAGCGCGACGCACATCAGCTCCCTCTTCATCGTCATCGTCGTCGTCTTGCGAGAGGTCGCCGGCATTTGTGCTTAATTTCGCAATTCCATTGCTCTGCATGTGGTCGTTTTCGCCTTCTCGCTCGGCCACGCCCTCCAGTGTCGTGCCAGCGGGTGTGCCTGCTGATGACGTGGGCTGCGTCGAAGGTCCTTCGTCTCCAGCATCCAATTGGAGGTGGCGCACATTGCGTCTGTTGTGCTGATTGCCGCGGTGGTACGCCTCGTCTCGTGTATAGTGCATCGTCGGAACTCTCCGATGCCTGTGATAGTATTTGCCGCAGACACCACACAGGGACTTCTCTCCAAGAGGGCCTTTGCGCCGACCCGTGTCCACGCTTCCAGCGACGCCACAATTGGAGCAGAACCACTGTCCGTCGTGAATGTTTGGGTGCTGTGCAGCAAGGTCTTTGGCTGCCAACGCTGCAGCAGCGGCTGCCTTTGCAGAAAGAGGTGGCGGCTCCGGCGGCTGCGTGGGGGCATTGATGACCACTGGCGATTTTGCCTTGCGTGCCCGAGTTTCGTTTCCGGTTGATGGAGCAAATCGAGGACCGTCGGAGTCTGGAGGGCCTCCGAGGCCTCCGGGATACGCAAAATGAATAGCGTGACTCTCGAGCCGAACGCTCTTCGCCGTGGTATCGGGAGCGGTCTCTGGCGCTGGCGTGGAGAAATCATGACCGTCATGAACGCCTGTGATCGACGCGTTGGCTTGTGCCGCTGCCCGCCTTGTAGACATGCCACCACCACGCTCACCACGCCCACTGGCCCCGAATTCTGAGGAGGTGCCGAAAGCGCCGCCGTGTGCGGCTTCGAAAGCGGCCACTTGGACTGCTTGCAATCCCCCCACAGCTGGCGTCCTCTGCGTCTTTTGTGGCTCGCGATCTGGCAAATTGACGCCTCGTCGGCCTCGAGTCTGGCGCCTCTTTCTTCGAGCTTCGCGTTCTCTCTCCCGCTCCAGCGCATCTATGTCGGCCTCGCTAAGCTGGTTGAGACGAGGCGTAAACCCTTCTGCATCTTGCTCTCCACGAGCAGAAAGGGTCAATGGCGGCAGGAAAGCAGCACGCAAATCTTCATCTTGCACTTCGCTGCCATCGAAGACGTGGCCGACAAGGGCAAGGGATCGCCGGTGGACATCCACCTGCTCGCGTATGGAGTGCGCCACGGCCGTCTTGAATTCTCCTGCTAGTCCGAGGTCAGCAGCAAATGTTTCCGCAAAGGCCTCCGGAGATGTGCCATCGTCTTCTATGTCCCACTCGAAGCGATCCACAAGGTTCATTGCTCCTACTGTGATGTCGAGCTAAGAGCGCAAATATGCCGACATGTGTCAGCGGGGGGTGAGAGCATCTCTCGCAACGCAACGGTACATGAACTCACCTTGATCTCTATCCGAAGATCAGGATGAGGTCGAGTTTGCGAGGCAGAATCGAGTTCATGTCCGGTGGCAGAAAGCCTCCGCCGCTTGACCGCCCGACCAGAGGCCCGCTGATCCACCTCACGTCGCCAAGACTTCCACCACTTGTCATCCCCCGACGTTGCTATCTTGCCGGCATTAGCAACTTCAGAAGACACTTCAAGTCGCTTGGGTAGGAACGCTTGGGCTGCGACATGCTCTTGCACTTGCGCCTGTATCGCCGACTTGATTGCGGGCACAAATACCTGGTGCGGCAGGCCAAAATCATCACAAAGAGTGTGCGCAAAGTGATCTAGCCCAACGTGAGCATCGCTCGCATTCCAGGTGAAAGTATCGCGCAGGCGCCATGCCTCGTGATCGATCTCCAAGCGGATTGGCACAAGGTCTTCCAGCTTGGCAGCGGCAAGCTGCGAGTGCCGCCTATCCTCCGCGGAAGTTAGGCCGGACGCCAAGGGCCCGCCGATCTGTCTTCCTCGTCGGGCTCTGGCTTTCCTTTTTTCGTGCGGAAAGATCATGTGGAAGCTCTCAAAGTCCTTGTGCTTGATGACATCTCCGTCCATGCGTTCCCACCAATGCAAGTTCGCCGCTGTTGCCCGCAATTGACTAGCTCTTTTGTGCAACGTGGTGGCTTGTCGACGCCCAAGCTGATGGATGTCCTTGGTATACTCGTGATCGCGCTTCATCACTCCCAACAAATCCCTCTCCTCCTCTTCGGTCAACGGCTTCCACACGTCTGTCAAAGCCTTTGCTTCCTCTGCTGACGGCTTGTCTGGAAGCGGGGGCAGAGGCGTTAGTCGAGTGTTGTATTCGACGACTTCGTGTCCGCCCTTCGTCGTCTTTGGCAAGGCGCCACCGTGAATCGGTGGCAGAGGTGGGCCCCGAGGAGGCGACGCTGGCCGCTGCGGTGCAAGCCCAGCTTTGAGGTCCGTAGGCGGTGCGGGCTGCACGGACGGCCGAGGCACGCCAGGTGCGGAGCCGCGAGAAGGCCCTGCCCCATTCAAGTCGTTCAGTCCAAGATCGTCACCATTGGTGGCGGTGCTCGACCTTCGTGCGTGCCCGCTAGAACCTGCGCTTAACGCCATCTGCGCGTTTCGTGCATTTGAGTCTGCGGCACCATCGCGGGATGCAGGGCGCCGCTGGCCAAATTGCGAGGCTTGTCTGGCTCTGGGAGGTACTGCAGCGCTCATTGCAGGACTCGCAATGGCAAAGGGGCTGAGTGGCGTCGCGAAGGGCGATGAGGACATCTGATTCATACCAGGAGCTCCCGAGGGCGAGGGACGCATTGAATGTTGCGGAGGAGGCATAGCATGTTGCTGCTGCGGAGTCCGCGGAGGCGCGCCTGTGCCGCCAGATCCCAAGAGCGCGGCGGCGCCTTCAGTCGAGCCGTGTGCAGCCTGATTCGCTGGGGGGAGCAGTCCTATCGTCTGAGCCTCTGTGAGGCTAAGCACTGCACCTCCACCATTGAAAGCGGATAGCTGCACATGAGCAGGGAGCTGATTCGCCCGGACGAAGATGAAGCCAAGCTGCTGAAGTACGGCGCCAGCAGGCAACTCTTGGCCTTGCGCTGATCGCTGTTTCGAGGTGTGCATGGCCTGCGTCAATATTTGCTGCTGCTGCTGGGGGCCCAATGAGGGCTGCCATCCGGGAGGGCAGTTCAAAGCGGTTGGAGGCAACATACGAGGGCCATTGACGCCTGGGCCCATATGCGATTCCGTCGTCTGACTTGGCACTGACAGCTGTGAGAAGGGAGTCGGAGGCGCTTGCAAACCACTTTGGCCATGTTGACCTTGAATAGGAGTTCCGGGCGGCCTTGCAGCGTTCGGCGGCCCTTGTGGATGGTGCATACTGCTGACTGAGGCACCCGATACGGAAGGACTTCGAGTGTGGCTGCGTGACCGCTCGCTGTTCAACGCTTGCACACCTCCAGCGGGCGCCATTCCGCCCGGCGGAGGAGATCCAGCCGCAGACTGGGGACCTTTGGCGCCGGTTTTCTTCTTCTTGGAGTTCGCAGCACCGCCACGCTTGCCCTTGCCGTCGGCGCCTCCTTCGGCTGTGGAGCTGCTCGGCGAGGACATCGCATTGTTGAGATGAGCAGGGAGACCATTCGGTGCGCCGTTGTTTGGGCCAAAGCGCGGCATGTTGCTAGCCTGCTGGTGCATTTGGGACGGAATCATGCCATTACCGGGGCTGGGGAACCCGGCTTGGCTTTGAAGTGCTCCCGAGCCCGGTCCAATGCTGCTCATCATGCCATTCATGAAGTGAGGAGGAAACATGCCGCCGGTGTTGTCGCCAGGGAAGCCGAGCATCGATACAGGCGACTGCACATGCTGTTGACTCTGTGCTGACTGTCCAGGGCCTTGCAGAGACATTTGAGCACCTCCGAACTTGAAAGGACCGTTGGGCTGTTGGCCAAAGTTGAAATTCGTGTTCGGACCGCCCTGAATCTGGCCTGACTGATTGGGAGTCTGCGGAGCCTGCGTAGCGAAGGGATTGTTCTGCTGGCCATGCTGGCCATTGTTTGCCTGTGGTGCTTGCTGATGATTAAGTTGTGACTGTCGCTGCTGCTGCTGGTGACCACCCAGCTGTTGCGCGTTGCCGCTTGGAAAACCGCCTAAACTCATACCCTGAATGTTGGCCCACGGCATTCCGTTCTGCTGCACGTTGCCCACATTGCTCGAAGAGGACTGCGCTTGTTGCAGCATTGCAAGCATCGCGGGATTGAGTCCGCCAGAGTTGGTGGCAAGGTCAAAGTTGAAGGATTGCTGCGGAGCATTCATACCGCTCATGTTTGCTCCCATGCCCATTCCTGCGCCTCCGCCGAAACCCATCTGACCGAAATCCGGAGCGCTTCCCTGGGTGTGAGCATCGGCGCCACTTCCACCGCCGACGTTGCCATTCCCAAACTGCTGCATTGCATCGCCAGATCCCATCCCTAGAGCACCCGCGAAAGCATTTTGCCCGCCGCCAAACATGCCATTCGGAACTCTACGACGAGATGGCGCACGGTGAGGATGTCCGGAAGGGCAAAGGAAGATGCGTCAAGCGGGCTTCGTGCAGAGTGCAGTGACCAGGGCTGATCGTTGCCGAATGCTTGCCGGAACAAGGGGTTGCCATGCGCACGGAGAAGGACGTCTGAGAGCGACACGATCTACGCGCGATAAGTGGATGTAGGGCGAGGTCGGTTGCGTAGGCGCAGCAGACGAGGATCGATTGGAAGGAGGCTGATCTCAGCAGACGACGACGCAGCTACAGACCGAATGTGCAAAGTGGATGTGCCCAAAAGCGGTGACGTCTGCTATCGTGCACTCTGCCTGAGCTGTGATCTAGCAAGTGATACGCGGCCGGCTGAGGTCACGATGAGAGGGCGAAGGAGGTGGTGCAAGTATGTGGTGCCGGTAGCCTGACGCGACGCGCGCCTGCATGGCCGCCTGGCTCTGTACCCAGAGCAGCGCACGCGCGCCCGTGGGGCGCCCGCGCGCGTGCGATGGGTGCGTGGTCCTGCTGGGCGCCACATGCCACATGGCAAGAAGCGCTGGCTTTGCCAGCAGCGCGTGCGCTGGCGGGTGAAAAGGCAGCTCAACGTATGCGTGGATTGACGGAGGGGAAGGCACACGCGGACAGAAGGGCAGGCGAGAGAGGGGATAGTCAAGGTGGTGTGGGAGAGGGATCACGCTCAACAGCAGCCTCAAGAGAAGGCTGCTCATGTCAAATACGCAGAACAACACTACACATGTGTCAGCTAGACGTTGATTGAAAGGAAGTGTTGGTCTGCGCTCAGCTAGATTGCTGGCTGGGCCTAGGCTACACTCTGTTCCCTGCTGGGACTCTAGGGCAGGAGCAGTTATTCTCCTAGCTTCTCACATGGGGCGGCCGGGAGCGGCACCGGAAGGTATGAGCGTGGATATCTGTGATTAGCCCTTGTGCAGGCAGCATCTCACCACCAAAAGCAGCGCGGGCACCACGCCGCTTAAAGTGACGTGGCGCCATGCGATGCGGCCGCAACCAAAGACGCCGCAAACGAGCAAGGAACGAACTGAACCGTCAAACCTCCGGTGGCGCCCATTTCAGCGCAACTGCTCCCCCTATAGATAGGCCCACCCCCGCCTCGCTTCAATGATCTAGTGTCGCATACCCGGTAATCCGGTATTCGCGATAAAGGGCAGCAAGCAGATGCTCAATGTGACTTTCCGCCGTTGAGCGGCCCCAACTCATGCGTTGAGCCAGGCTCATATGCTCCTGCATCACATGATATGTGGTGCACCCTGTCACAGTCACAGTTGAGATTTGGATGTCTCCGCGTCCTTTGTTCGGCTCATCGGTCCTGGAGCAGCATGACGCTTTCGCTGCCCCAAAGCACCGCCCGCCGCCCACAATTATCCTGGGCATCCACTTGTATGTCAGTGTCAGTGAGTCGATCGCAGTCCAGGACCTAGACGACTTGGAGGAAGGTGTCGTGTTTCACCTGTGGTCTTGCCACCTACAGCACACACGTGCTTGGCCGCACAAGGACGGACTCTTGACTGCTCTTTAACCTTGCCGAGCCTCGACGGATGCTCAATCGCCAACCTCGAACGGCGTCAGAGCAAGCGCTACCTGAGCTCTGCAGGGGGCGCCATGCTGTTTGCACACCCACGAACACTCACGACTCCGCTACGTACGACACCAGCTCCTTGGTAGGAGCAGCGCGGCGCCACCTCGGACCAACTTGATCGCTCAAGTGAGACACGGCACTTATGTGGAACTGGTATCACATAAATGATGCGATTAACAGCCGTCACGATCGAGTCTTCTTCATCCCCCGCCCCACCTTTACCTTGGCCCGCGCCGCATCGCTACACTTGCGCTGCTGGAGCTCTCTACGCTGATCGTCCTCTCTTTCAAAACAAGCTCCATGGTACGTCTCAGTCTGCTCGACCATCTGAGTTACAGTCTGAGTACTTTGCCCACATGTGCATGTCGTGCAGGGGTATCGCCAGGTGTCACCAAATGCCAAACGGCTTGCCTCCTGACAGCGGCGCAAAAGCTCAACGTCTGCGGCTGGACATTGCTCTGAGTGGTAGCACAATGTACTACTCAAGACTGTTGTACATGGATATGCTTGCTTTGCTCCACATTGCGTCAAGCACGAGCACGTCGCAGGTGCGCGAACGCCTAGGAACAGAGACAGCAGAGGTGGCAGGCAGGCAGCAGCTAGGGTTCCATGCAATGATACGCTTTGACTTGACTGTGACCACAGGAAGGGTCGTTCTGGGCCAAGAAGCGCAAGGACCAAGCTCCGACGCTTTTAGCTGCGCACCTCTAGATTCGGAGCTTCCACATCATGCACGATGTGCGTATGCCGCTGCTTCGCTGCATTTAAGGCTCAGCAGTCAGCAGCAGCACCATCAATTGTTTGCGAAATTGTGGATCGCTTTCGCTCTTGCTGCACCACCAACCAATGGCGGCATGAAGCTACAGGTCTCGAACAATCAGATCACGAATGGCGTAGGTTCGTGGGTGGGGATCTCGTGAGTTCTGTGACTCTCTCACTCGCTCGCTCGCTCGCTCCCCCCCTCCCATCTTTGCTTCCATGCACGCCGACGTTGGGCTTTTGCATGCTCCTCTCGCTAGCCCGCCGATCGCAGCTATCCTGAGTCCCTTCGCCGTGACATCCTCGCGTTTCCGCCCAGACGTGCCCTGCGTCAGGGAGGGCTCGCTTAGCAGCAAGCTCGTGCATCCGCACATTGACCTGGTGTTGTGGAACCGCCCAGCCATCTCTAAAGTCATCGTCATCTGCGGCGCATGCACCTCGCCTCCTGGCACGTCCAATTATGCACGAGTTCAGACCGCAGGGGTGAGACGGTGAGCGTCTGAAGCACCTCAAGAGGCTGAACGCCGCTCAGCAAGAGCCTCAAGAGGACCAACGAATCTTGAATCGCGAATAAATCAAGAATCAGAATCGTTAATGTGGCCTCTTTGAATCAAGGATCAAAGATCGAAATCAAGAATCAAGAATCCAAGAATTGAAATCAAAGCGTGGACGCTGATCACGTGCCATCCTCGGCACGCGTGCGGTCAGCAGCAGAAGAAACGCATACCGTGGTAACGCGTGCGCTGTTCGTGATATCAACGCCGAGAACCCTGGCAGGGCTGACTATGCTCCAGACTCAGAACTCTTCTGCGAGTCAATACTCACACTCATTGATCGTCACTCCTCACTGAGCCCTTCATCGTTATGCGGAATCTGACTGGATGTCCATCGTACTGAGTCCTTGGACTTTCGCTAGCTACCGGCCTGGCCGAGTCATCTATCCTAGCTACACCATCTCGAAGCAAAAGAGCTCTGTAATTTTGCATGGCGACAGTGACGTGAAATACTCAGACTGAAGATCATGGGATGAAGTCGTTCGCGTTCCATCCTTTTTGAAAACGGAATGCGTTATGTATGCAAGACATTCTCAATCCTTGACAATTCAGCAGCATGCACGCAGCATTTCCAAGTCGTAACGTCCGCAGTGAGTGCGAGATGGACTGGTGACACTAGCGTCGCTCACGGCTGGCCCTGACCCCAACCCGCAGCATTCACTCACGCCTTGTCGTGTTTGTTGCGCTTCAGCGACAGGCTGAATGTACAATGTATGCGCGACCTCGAGAATGACTCACTCAAGGTGAGCGTTACAGTCTGAGCCATCGATCGGGCAAGCTGCTGAATGACCATTCGCCCTTTTCCATCCAAAGTTGCGACTCTCTGCGATCAACTCCACTCAATCAGGATTTTGCGCTTTCGAATTTTACGACTACTTCTTCGAAGTTCTGCGAACGGACCTGGACCAGAAGATCGACTGCGAGACTGGCATCCGAGTGAGTTATGGTGTTTGGCGTTGATCATTGCGCAGCATGCTCACGTGTCGTGCTCTCTTGAGCCAGCCGATCCTTTCTGTCCTGCGAACTGGAAACAACAAGACACTCGATAGATGCGAGATTAGCATCTTTGACCACGAGGACGAAAGTCGCGTCGCCGTACGCCTTCACAGCAAAGGGGGTGAGCGAGTGTGAGCGTCGAAGCAGCTTCCCTGAGCCCGGGCTTACGACGTCTTCTGCATGCGTGCACAGGCATCGTGAAGACTCACAAGCTCACTTATGCTGCAGTGCCAGGTCTCTGGCCAAATGTCCCACCAAATGCGCCATGCCAGCTATCGATTGGTCCCAAAGTTGTACACGACTTCCTCGACCATTTTGGCAACAAGAACGGTGGTGAGGTGACGTTCTGGTGTGGTCCACGATTCTTCATGGTGCGCAGTAGGGCGGATGACACGCTCGATAAGAGTGAGCCTCTTCTCATGACCTTGTAGACGCCTCATCTCAGCGTGGCTCACGACAATTTGCGCACGACCAGATCAATTCAGACGCGCAATCGCCACCCAAGTCACAGTTCAATTAGATGCCTTTGAGGCGTTTACGATGGTAAAAGAAGTCTGCCTTACTTTTCCGCTGAAGGAATTCAAGGTACGTGACTCTAGGACTGCACTCTCTCATGCGCATGGTTGCTAATCAGCGACTGTTGTTCTTGTTGCAGGCTGCTATTGCAGCAAGCGAGCATTTGGGTGTGAATCTGGAACTCAAGTTCGGCGAAGGAGGCGAGCCATTGCACATTCGTTGCCAGCTTGAAGCGCTGCACGCCGACTTTGTTCTCGCTACAACACCAGGAGAAGTTCCATCTGATGCAGCTAGTGCTGCACAGGCTCGACGCGCAGCCGCGCAATCAGGACCATCGAGTGCTGCGAACCCAGCGGCCGAGGCAGCTAGCCGAGCGATCGACTCGTCTCGGCCGCAAGGCTCTTCGCGACGTCCGACTCTGCAAAATGGGGAGTCCCAGCCGAATGCCAGCGCCATGGACTCAGCCCGACCACCCAGAATGCAGGAGTCTACGCCCAGAGTAGGCGTGGCTCTCGCGCGCCACAACACTGACATTCCTCTCTTTCGAGGATCTCAAGCGTCAGATGGACAAGCCTTGCATGAAGATCGAGGATTCGAAGAAGCTGGAGGTCGCGACGAGGAGGATCTAGCAGCCTTGGAAGAGGTCGAGCAGAGCGTCCAAAGAGGCGATATACGACTTCGCAGCAGCCAAGCTCCCAGCGCTCTTGAGCACCAGGCTGACGCCGCCGTCCGTGCCCAAGCGAGCCTACATCACGTCGAGAAGGAGCAAGGATCACCTTCCTCCCGTGTGCCGCAGTCTGCGCAAGACGAGACGCCGCCTAGCGTCAAACTGTACACCTCCAGTAACATCAGCGTTGGCAACAGGATCAATCCCGCGTCTTCTGTCAACGGACACGAGGTGCCTAGAGCGCTGGCAAATACGCGCTCTCAATCCTTGCGACACATTCATCTTCCGTCATCTGGCCACGAGGAAGGGGATGAGTCCGTTCCACCACCTCATGGGCCCGTCGGTACTGGGCACTTTGCTTCCCAGCCTGTTGCTGCCACCACTCGTGGACGGAGCAATCTCAACTCATCAGCAAGAATAGGGATGCATCTCTCGGGCGCTCGTTTGCCTGCCGCCAAATCGTGGCAAGATGCACTCGAGAACGCAAGCCAGATGGTCGTCGACGATGATGAGGGTACACAAGCGGACGAGGACGCCGCCCGCCAACGCGCACTCGAGGGCACGGACGCTCAGCTGCCAGATGAGGATGAGCTGGGCGCTAGCGACGAAGACGTAGAGAAGAGCACTGGACCTAGAGTGAGTGTGAATGCGTGTCAAGAAGGATATGGTGATACGTGTGGCTAAACCATCGTGGACCCCAGTTCGAACCGTTGTTTTGAGAAACGATCTACAGGCTCGCGCGTCACATAACGACACCAAGCATACTACACTGTACTCGTACCCGTACCCAGCGGCAAGGTTGCAATGAGACCAGCCATCAATCCAATCGGAAGGAGGTCCATCGCCATAACTGCCGCTAACTGCTCGCATGCTTTGGAGTCGCTACCGACTCTGCATTCGCAAAGCAGTCCGCCACCTCAGGTGGTTTGTTGGCTAATGGATCAGTGTGACCCTCCTCGATGAAATGAGATTGGAGCGCCTGTGCCAACCATGCTCGGTCGGGTAGGGGGCGGCACCCACCGTCATCCTGAGCGGGCCGCGCGTCTACAAAACTCGAGCTGGTTTCGCGTAACATGCGGAGGAGGTGCTGTTGTTCCTATTCAGCGCCCCGGCCGTTCACCCAGTCCACGACTGCAATGTCGCATTTTGATCGAATGAGGCTGCGCTCACACACAACCTTCTTGAGGCGCTCGAGGATCGGAGACGCAATGCACCTCTCGCGGCCTCTTGAAAGTCTTCAGCCAGGCGACCGCGTCCAAAGAGCGGGCCGCCCCGATCACCTTACCAGAGTCGTGATTGCCGTCACGGGAGCGAGAGCGAAATTCGTTCGAACGCAATTGCTTGATTAATTCCTCTCCCAATCACGACAGGAAGTGTCGACTTTGAGCCGGTTGCTGCTCGACTATACTTTTCGCACTTGCCCTCGCTGTCCCTTTCATTCGTTGATGAGCGAGCGACACAGCTCTGCTTGCGCAACGGCTTCTTGAAAACGCAAGAGCGATGCGCAGCGTATAATACAGACACCGTCAATGCGACGTGAGTTCAAATTTTCGTGTCTCACTTTCTGCGTCATGGCAAGTCGGAGCTGCATGTCAAAGGAGCAAATCAAACAAAGTTCTAATTCCTGATTATGCCGCTGCACTTCGAGAACAATGTTGAATCAGGAATCTTGATACTGCTGCTGCATGTGCAATCGAGACGTTGTTGAGCTCTTCACTCTGTGACTGTTCACTTGCTCTTCTCTTTGAAAACCTTAGCGCGTTCCGATTAAAAACTCACAAGTCAGAGCCCTGCTGATTGTTGAAGATTCAACTTCTTTGTTCGTGATTCAATTGACTGCAAGATTTTTCTTGCTTAATGTGCGTATGCACGTCGCCTTTGCTGCATGCTGGATGCAAGATGCGCCCTGACGCGTCTAATTTTGAACAGCAGCACGGACGTGTCGTTCTGCTGCTGCATGCTGCCGTGAGTGCGAAGGCTTAGCGGGCTGCAAGGCCGCCGCCCCCCTGATGCGTGCGTGCGCGTGCGCATGCGCTTGCGTGCGATGGGGGGGCTTT